GGCTGGGGAATTCTGGGAGTTGAAGTCCACACATCTCCAAGCTGCCAAGGTTGAGAAACACAGCTTTAAACAAGTCATACGGTGCTTTAATTTTTATCAGAACAATGGCACAGAAGGAGAGGGTCCTAACCCCCACCTCGCAGGGCTTTACTCATAGAAAACCGCACCTCCAGCCAATGGTAGCCTATCCTTGGCTACCTTGAAGCCACCCGGTTCAGCTTTAGAGGCAACCCCATGCACGCCCAGCTGCATTTACTGGAAAGTGGTGGTGTTGCTTGCAGATCAGGGCCTCTGCATGAAATAAGCATCCATTGAGGATGGGGAGTCGCTTAAGAGAGGGTCGCAAAATGGGTGAGGCCACATGTGGAAGAGAAGTTTTCTTTCACTCTGCAATATGCTTATTTTAGGATCTGCACTCCCGTTTCCCCGTGTTTTCTTTTTTTAGCAGTTAAAGAGAGCTCGAAAGGCCACAAGACAGATTTGGGGGCTGCCCATCCCTGGCTGTGCCCAGCCTGTGCTACGGAATCAGCCTCTGTTTCTCTCCTGCCGGTCTGCAAAGACGGATGCAACCCTCATGAAAAACCAGGATCTCTTCTTCCAGCGGGGACCGGCGCTCAGCTCGGGGACCAGCTTCTGATTCAGCTCAAGAGCTGCTGCGGGCTTCATAGCCATATATGGTCAACACATTTATGCAAGGGAAGTCAGCAGATCAGGTAACCTGCCTGCAAAAGGGAACCTCTCTTGAGCAGAAAGCAAAACCACAGGAAGATGACTGTGCAGAACAAAACGGGACCAGTTGGAGGAAGCAGACGCAAAGGCTGCCTTTTATGGTAAAAGGAATAGTAAGAACCTTTGCTGGAATCCAAATCTGCCGAAAGTCAAATTTAGCCGGGGGTCAGGTGATTGAGTAGCCCGAGGCGGAAGCTGCAAGGGTTCGGCTTCTGACAGGAGGGCGTGGACTGCTGCATTACTTGATTAGAGAGACCCAAGTAAGGTCAGGTGTGCAATGCAATTCACCTTCCCTTACAAGGAAGGTTGATTCTTAAGCAATGCGCACGGAGGTTGCAGCTCCAGCGTCGTGCATGTGTCTCGGGGATCATCATGGTTTCATTTGACCCTCATATCCTGTGATGTTGGCTAGAGCGAGAGAGACTGCAGCTGTAAAATCAGCTGCTAATCTTTAGTGCAGAGTGAGTGGATTTCGGCTCAGGTCTCCTTCCCAGGGCCTGCCGCTGTCCTTCCCCAACCTCATGAATCTCATCAATCTTCCTCCTTACCCTGACATTTCAGATGGTTGTGTGCAAAAGCAGGTATCTTCAGATCCCGGTAAAGAGGGAATAACCTGGTGTTATAGGTAGTTCTTGTTTAGTGACGGCCTCATTTAGCAACTGTTCGCAGTTATGATGGTGATGAAAAAGTAACTTTTCTTATTTATTTTTTTCTTTTATTTTACAGTAATAACAACAAAAAAGAATCAAACACAAAGATACGTTATAGAAAAACAATTACATAACAAGTGCTTAAAGTGGAAAAAATACAGCAGAAAAAATAAAAAATAAATAAAGTATATGTCATTACAACAGTAAACAGTCACAATTCTCTATATATTTAATTTAAGGCAAATATTATGTGATTATGTATAAGGTTTGATGACCTTCGCAGGTCTGTAAAACAAAGGAAAGCTGAAGGAAGATCGTAAGCACAGTCCCGGGTTCACTTAGCGACCGCTTCTCTTAACCCAGTTGCTAGTCCCAATTGCGGTCGCTAAACGAGGACTACCTGTATTTGGATGAAGAAGTGGCCAACAGCCTCTCTTTCCCTGTCTTCTTTTTCTTAAAAAACAAAGCAGCCAACATGGATTCCAGTGCAGATGTGACCATCTGACCAAAGGGTGTGATGTTTGCATGACTCCTTTGCAGTGTTCTCCTAAGGAAGAATTCAAGTGTTTTAGAACTGTGTCTTGGAGGAACAATGTTGTTCCCCCCCCCCTCCCCAAATCTACGGGAGTTAACCTGGGTGGCTCAGCTGATTTCTTTCTAGCTTAGATCATCAGAAAAGGTTGCTTCCCATTGAGCAAAAGGGTAGTGTGATGGAATGGTGTTATGAAGGCCACGCTCAGGGAGATAAGCATG